TATTTTAAATCTCACGTAGACTCGTGCATGTAATTCGTGGGTCTTTGTTATAAAAAAATATTTGGTCTGGTTTTGATTGATTTTTAATAATTTATTAATTGTCATTTTAATAATATTTTGGTAAAGAACAATAGTTATATTGAATTGTTTTAAAACAAACACAATTAATAACATTCGGTGTGAATTGTTTTTTATATTTTCTAAACAATTTTAAATCTTTAAATAATGTATTATATTTAATTTATTAATTTATTGTTTAAGAATAGTATATTTTAAGATATATCCTTAATAGTTAGTTATGTTGAATGACTTTAATTAAATAATTTATTAAAAACGTTTACAAAACGAATTTTCCAATATTTAAAGACCGAAAAACTGAGAATTTCAGAATGAATAGACTTTCTGGTTATCACATCATGATAGTCTCAATTTACTTTGAAACTATCAAAGACTATATTAACTTGGAGTTGGTATGCAAGAAGTTTAGAGGTAATATGGAGAAGTTTCACTTCAACCCGATTCCGTTAAATTCCAAAACACTTGGATACTTCCCAAACATCGAGACACTTCATTTGTGGGATAAAAAGGATGAGAATTTTGGGAATGGATTTATGATAAACACAGAGAAAATGGAAATTGTGAAAATAAAGGTTGTTTTAAAGAAAGAATTCTTTCGAACCATTGTGTGGTTCAATGTTGACTTTGAAACTGTTGACAGAAACAAAAATCGAAACATCGAGTTTAAAAATGTCACTTACACTAAAAATGATAGAAAGAAATTTGGTAATAACATACCATCAAGTGTGACATCAATTGGTTATGATTGTTTCAGTGGATGTAGTAGTTTAAGCAGTGTTACAATACCATCAAGTGTAAAATCAATTGGTTATTATTGTTTTTATAGATGCAGTAGTTTGAGCAGTATTACAATACCATCAAGTGTGACATCAATTGGTGATGATTGTTTCAGTGAATGCAGTAGTTTGAGTAGTGTTACAATATTATCGAGTGTGACATCAATTGGTGGTGGTTGTTTCTTTGAGTGTAGTAGTTTAAGTAGCGTTACAATACCATCAAGTGTAAAATCAATTGGTGATCATTGTTTCAATAGATGCAGTAGTTTGAGTAGTGTTACAATATTATCGAGTGTGACATCAATTGGTGAATATTGTTTCAATGAATGCAGTCGTTTGAGTAGTATTAACATACCATTGAGTGTTACATCGATTGGTGATAGTTGTTTTGATAGATGCAGTAGTTTGAGTAGTATTACAATACCATCAAGTGTAAAATCAATTGGTGATCATTGTTTCAGTGAATGCAGTAGTTTAAGCAGTGTTACAATACCATCAAGTGTGAGATCAATTGGTGAAAAATGTTTTCGTAAATGTAGTAATTTTAGTAGTATTACAATACCATCAAGTATTACATTAATTGGTTATTGGTGTTTCAGTGAATGCAGTAGTTTGAGTAGTATTACAATACCATTAAGTATGACATCAACTACTTTAATTGAATGTTTCCCATCAAATACAGTAGTTCATCAAAATTAATTTAGTTGTTACTTAATGTTTATTATTGTTTTGAAAAAAATTTAATTAAATTATAATTTTTTTTATTAATTATTATATTATTATTTATTAAAAAAAATAATTGAAAAAGTCAATTAATTTTCACGAAATTGATTTATTCAATTTTTTAAAAA